CACTGCCTCCTCGAGATTCGTCTTCGATCATTCCATTACACCTCCGCCTGAATCAGGTAACGTATTGGTATTATCTGTTAAACTAACTAGACCCAGAAGCTTTAGATAGGTATTTGCTGGACGCGGGTTTCGAACAAGTGTTCCACACGCAGCCTACCCCGGCCACTACCACCGCTGCTGCCTCCTCCAGATTTGTCTTCGATCATTCCATCACACCTCCACCTGAATCAGGTAACGTATTGGTATTGTCTGTTAAACTAGACCCAGAAGCACTGGACCGCTACTTACTTGACGCGGGATTCGAACAAGTGTTCCACACGCAACCTACCCCCGCCACTACCACCACCACTGCCTCCTCGAGATTCGTCTTTGATCATTCCATCACACCCCCACCTGAATCAGGTAACGTATTGATATTGTCTGTTAAACTAGACCCAGAAGCACTGGACCGCTACCTGCTTGATGCGGGTTTCGAACAAGTGTTCCACACGCAACCTACCCCGGCCACTACCACCGCCACTGCCTCCTCGAGATTCGTCTTCGATCATTCCATCACCCCTCCTCCTGAATCAGGTAACGTATTGGTATTATCTGTGAGGGCCCTTTTCCTGTCATGCGTATTTTCGCACGCGCGCGGATCTGGTCCGCATGCGGATGATAGCCATCCAATAAAAAGCAGCCAATCCGCGTTCCGCGCGCGTGCTAGCCGCATGATAGGAAAAACATGTATCAAAAGATAAGATGCATGCGGCCCGCATGCGGACTAGATCCGCGCGCGTGCGAAAATACGCATGACAGGAAAAGGGCCCTTAAACTAACTAGACCAAGAAGCACTAAATAGCTACCTGCTTGACGCGGGTTTCGAACAAGTGTTCCACACGCAGCCTACCCCCGCCACTACCACCGCCACTGCCTCCTCGAGATTTGTCTTCGATCATTCCATCACACCTCCGCCTGAATCAGGTAACGTATTGGTATTATCTGTTAAACTAGACCGAGAAGCACTGGACCGCTACCTGCTTGACGCGGGTTTCGAACAAGTGTTCCACACGCAACCTACCCCCGCCACTACCACCGCCACTGCCTCCTCCAGATTTGTCTTCGATCATTCCATCACACCCCCACCTGAATCAGGTAAGTTATATATTTGATCTGTCCAATAACTGTGATTTCTTTTATTGCCGTAAAGTAGCAAATAAAATGCCACACACTTTTATTTTTTATTTTATTTTATTTTATTTGGGGAGCTTACAGCCTAAAAAACATATTTAATTAAGTACACAAACAAATGCCAATTACAAGCTTCCACATATAGAAACAAAATGTACGAATCTAAAAGTAAGTACAATCTTAAATGAAATAGAAAAGAAAAAAAAATAATATCTTATCTGTTCCTAACCTATTAGCTAAACGGAAACAAAATCTTTATTAAGCGCTTTCTTAGCACCCTGAGCACTGCCGCCAAATAGATCATAACGGGAATCACTATTGAGCTTATTGAACTGCTTCATAGATCTAGGAAGGAAACTATTCTTTCTGTACTTCGTGTGGGAAGGTGGAATATATAACAAAGTTGGTTGCCTGACTCTCCGAGTCCGAGTGGGAACATTAAGCTTAACCAAGTCGAGTAGTTCTGGGCTATCAACAATACCCCGCGCAATCTTCGTCAAGAAACTAAGATCGGAGATGTCACGTCGTAGTTGTAGGGGCAAGAGATGAAATTTAGAACAACGTTGGGGATATTCAAGCTTTGGGATATTGAATTTGTATTGCAGGAACCGTGTAAATTTTCTTTGAATTTTCTCAATAGAGGTGATGTAAGTGTCGTAGCATGGACTCCAAATTTGAGACGCGTATTCAAGGTGGCTACGCACATAGGCACAATATAATATTTTGATAGTTTTCATTTGGCGAAAGCTACCTGAAGCGCGCATAACAAAGCCTAGAGCTTTATAAGCTTTGTCAGTAATGTTATGAATATGTTTATCGAAAATTAATTTGCTGTCGTGAATAATACCAAGATCCCTACAAGAGTCAACAAATATCAGATTTTGATCTTTAATTTTATATTCAAATTTTAAAACGTGACGCTTACGTGTAAAATTTATGCAAAAGCATTTTGAAACATTTAAATCTAATTTGTTTAATTTACAGTAACGGTCCAGTCTCAAAAGATCCTCTTGCAAAAGCAACGCGTCAGAATTACCTTTTATCGTCTTAAAAATCTTCATATCATCGGCGAATAAAAGAAAATTGGAATTTAAAAAGCACGAATGAATGTCATTAATAAATAAAACAAATAATAGTGGACCTAACAAGGATCCCTGTGGGACACCGGATGGAATTCTGGACCAAGATGAGACAAAGCCATTTAGTACTACTGCCTGTGTTCTATTGTCGACTACTACACATACATTACTGTAACATGCATTCAAAGAGGTCCAAATTAAAAAATAACATTGATTTAATTTTCCTCTTTCTTTAGATGCTGAATCGCCTGAAGTCGATAGATTCACTGTTCAACTAAAGAAAGACGAAAACGGCCTCGGTATCACAATAGCTGGTAAGTAACAACTGATATTTATATGTGTCAAAGAACAAGAAGTGCTATGCTCTCATTTTTAATCCCATTTCTATTTACAGGTTATGTTTGTGAGAAGGAAGAACTGTCAGGCATATTCGTGAAATCAGTTACTCCAGGCAGCGCGGCGGCCCTTAGCGGAAAAGTTCGGGTCAACGACCGCATCGTGGCCGTAGACGGAGTGTCGCTCGCTGGGAAATCTAATCAAAGAGCGGTAGATGCGCTCAAACAGAGTGGGAATGTCGTCACTCTAGAACTGGAGAGGTCAGTACTGCTGGATACGTAACGCTTACTTGGCGCTGGCGGTAGGATACGTGACGATTTATGAATGTAGTTAAAATGTAAAGTGGTCAGAGTTTAACTCGAAGGGAAATCTAATCAAAGAGCGGTAAATCTGCTCAAAAAAGAGTGGGAATGTCTAGAGAGGTCAGTCCTGCTGAATATGTAATGCTTACTTGGCGCAGACGGTAGGATACATTTATGAATGTAGCTATGATTAGTACGGGTCAATGACCGCATCGTGGCCGTGGACGGAGTTTCGCTCGCGGGGAAATCTAATCAAAGAGCGGTAGATGCGCTCAAACAGAGCGGGAATGTCGTCACACTAGAACTGGAGAGGTATGAACTGGTAGATGAATCGTGCTTATTTGGCGCAGGTGGTAGGATACGCCTTGCTTCATGACAGTAGGTTAAATATCAAAGTGCGGGTCAACAACCGCATCGTGGCTGTGGACGGAGTTTCGCTCGCGGGGAAATCTAATCAAAGAGCGGTAGATGCACTGAAATAGAGTGGGAATGTCGTCACACTAGAACTAGAGAGGTATGAACTGGCAGATGAATCGTGCTTATATGGCGCAAGTGGTAGGATACGCCTCGCTACATGAAAGTAGGTGCGGGTCAATGACCGAATTTTGACCTTAGTCGAGGTATCACTCGCCGGAAAAACAAGTCAAAGAGCGGTAGACGCGCTCTAACAAAGTGGCAACGTTGTTCTCTTGAACTAAAGAGGTAAGTAACTAAGTACTACTTGAAATGCCTCGCGTTTCAGACCTGTATTTGGTGCAGATGGTAGGATAGAATCGAACTTACGCTCCCAAAAGTAAATTAAGAAATTATGACTTTCACCTAAGTAATTGATATTAAAATCTATATACTTTAATTAACTTCCTCCTTTCTTCTTCTCGTTCCCAGATACCTCCGCGGTCCGAAGTTCGAGCAACTCCAACAAGCTATCGCAGCCGGCGAGACGTCAACATCCACCGTGCCTCAACACAACCCCTTCCTGCACATGCATCGCAACGAGAGCGAGACAGAGATACAGCTGACCAGCTTACACAACAAGTGAGTGTTGAATAAATCTTTCACTTATATCCTAACTTAACAATGTAACCAACCAACGGATTTGGCCAAATTGAGGGTCCCGTATTATGCTGTCCGCCGCGTCAGGCAGACCGTACTCACGTACCGATCCGCGTGCGAAATTCACTTTACTGCGGTGCAGATGAAGTGAGAGACTTCGCACAAGTACTCGTATTGCTGGAATGCAAGAATAATACGCGTCATGCGGCGGAGAGCCTTAGTTGTTCTACCTAGCATGTTACGCAGCGAAGCAAGTAGCAAGTTATCACCTGACTGAAAACTACTTCATACTATAACTTAAACAGGAGTTGCCATGTCTATAATAAGCGTTTTGCAAGATAGCTTTGTATTCCGCAGGGACTCTAAAGCGGTCTCGTAACTTTCGTATCTTGATTTACACTTATTTATTACGTCTTATTATTGTATTACAGTGTGGAAGTGAATGTGGAGGCGCCACGCGACTCCCCTCCCGCGTCTCCATTACCCGCGCCCCCCACCACCCGCCCGCAGCCCGCGTTCGACATGCCGCGCACGCACGAGCAGAAAGAGGCCATACGCACCAAGTGGCAGAACATACTCGGTAAGCCATCATCATCATATCGTATTGCAATCCCTGCCTGGATCAAACGTCTATGTCAAGGGTTTTAAGCCAGCTCTCTGCGTCGGGAGTGAGCTTGTGCAGATCGGCTATACCACCGGGATAACGGCAAAGTGATTCGTTTACAACATGAGCTAAGGTTTGGTCAGGTGCACCGCAGTCGCATTGAGGTGACTCGGTCAGCCAAGTACCACCTATACCACCCAGTCTCTCTCTCTCTCTCTCTCTTCGTATGGGACACCGAGTCTTTCAACGACCCGGTGAACACTGATGTCAGTTTTACAACCACCTACTACTAGAAGTAGGCCTTTGACAATGTTGTGTAACGACCGCTGTCTAAGTAATTATAGACAGCAACCGGTACCGACGGCCTCGCCCTTCGAAGCCCGGAACTATCTTTCGGACAATCAGATGGTTCCAGATAGAACTAACTCACAAAGTGATAATTATCAACTTTATGAGTGACCCACCGAGAATCGAACCCGGTACCTTCTGCGTCGTAGGCAGTCGCACTATCACTGCGCCATATCGGCCATATACCAACCAGTGTGGAGATTGTTTATTAGGCCTCACATCTTATCCATACAGATCTTGACGACTTACGATGTGGCGCAGTGGTTAGTATGCCTGTCTACCACGCAAAGGTTCCGGGTTCAATTCCCGGTGGGGTCACTCACAAAGTTGATATTTATCACTTTGTGAATTTGTTCCCAGTCTGGTTAGGACATTGCAAGCTGAACCACCTGATTGTCCGCAAGTAAGATGGTTCCGTGCTTCGGATGGGCACGTTAAGCCGGCGGTCCCGGTTGCTGTCTATGATGGCGGTCGTTACACAACCATGTCAGAGGCCTGCTACTTGCAGTAGGCGGTTGAAAAATCTGACACCATAGTCCGAGTTCTTAATTGGCAGTTTGTATGGAGGTATGGTCCCATCTGGCAGAAATCATGAAACTTGGCATGTGTGTAGCTTACATGTGTAAGCTTCAGGAAAAGAAGGGAAGCAAGTTGGACCCCCCCTGCTTCCCCCCTTTACCCCCCCCCCCTTTTATGTCCCCAGTTATCTTTATTTTTCTCGGAAACAATTAAAGATAGGAGAAATTTGTCAAGGTAAGAAATATTCCTTATAAAATTGTCAACAAAATTGTTTTTTGGTTGACGTTGATAGGACTTATACTTTTCGAGTTATGCTTCTGGGAAACCCATCATTTTTTCGAAGGTGACTTACAGCTCTGAATTAGCCATAACTACCATGTGATAGAATATTCTTTCAAACTTGCTGTTGGCTTTTGTTAGTTAGGTAGTCTTCAAAGGAAACCCGCAGAGACAACACTTCAATCACGCCTGTGGAGATGGGGGGAGGGGGGCAAAGTTTATTTTTTCCGGGCTGGACTTGAGGACTCCTGACTCCTTAAGTAAATGTGACAAGAGAAATTGAGTATCATTTTCGAATAAACCAAGGACGGAGTATTCGTTTCTGGGACGCTTTTTGGTACATCTCATACAAAAATATAAATATATTAAGTGAAATTGGAAAAAAAATATGTTTCGTTCTCATTCAAACTCTGTTTTCTTCATGACCTTGAGACATATTTATTAGATAATAACACATACTCGAAGACATACTCACCCTAATTATAAAACCATATTTTATTTTCGAAAATATTAGAAAATACCTAGCCTACGGAAGCCTAAATATTTTTACAAAGTTATGTTTGTAGCTGGAAAAATTTCAAATTCATAGATTTTGTATGCAAAAATAAGATTACCAACCGCAAACGTATATTTCTCAATTGCCGCTAAACCATTCCAGATAGGGAAATGGCCTCATAGGAAATGTTGTTTATACTGAAGAGTTGTTTATGCTGATATATAGAAATTGAAGATCTGGAGAACTTGATGTGGAACATCAACAGCCCAGCTAAACTATTCGAGATACTGTAATGTCTTCTTAAACATCAAGTACTCCAGATCCTCAATTTCTTTATTCCAACAAAAACTACCCTTCAGTATAAACAACATTCCCTATGAGAGCATTCCTCTATCTGGAATGGTTTAGCGACAATTGAGAAATATAAGTTTGCGGTTGGTAATCTTATTTTTGCATACCAAATCTATGAACTTGAAATTTTTCCAGCTACAAACATAACTTTGTAAAAATATTTAGGCTTCTGTAGGCTAGGCATTTTCTAATACTTTCGAAAATAAAATATGGCTTTATAATTCCGGTGAGTATGTCTTTGAGTATGTGTTATTATCTAGTAAATATGTCTCAAGGTCATGAAGAAAACAGCGTTTGAATGAGAACGAAACATATTTTTTTCTTATTTCACTTAATATTTTTATATTTTTGTATGAAATGTACCAAAGAGCGTTCCAGAAATGAATACTCCGTCTTTGACATATTCGAAAATGATACTCAATTTCTAATGTCACATTTACTTAAGGAGTCAGAAGTCCTCAAGTTCAGCTCGGAAAAAATAAACTTTGCCCCCTACCCCCATCCCCACAGGCGTGATTGAAGTGTTGTCTCTGCGGGTTTCCTTTGAAGACTACCTAACTAACAAAAGCCAATAGCAAGTTGGAATGAATATTCTATCACATGGTAGTTATGGCTAATTCAGAGCTGGAAGTCACCTTCGAAAAAATTATGGGTTTCCCAGAAGCATAACTCGAAAAGTATAAGTCCTATCAACATCGACTCAAAAACAATTTTGTTGACAATTTTATAAGGAATATTTCTTACCTTGACAAATTTCTCCTATCTTTAATCGTTTCCGAGAAAAATAAAGATAACTGAAATTTGGGACATAAAGGGGGTAAAGGGGAAGCAGGGGTCCTGAAGCTTACACAAGTAAGCTACACACATGCCAAGTTTCATGATTTCTGCCAGATGGGACCATACTTCCAGCTAAGGACCCGTACTACCAGGGTTCATCGGGTCGTTGAACGACTCGGTGTCCCACACGAAAAGAAGAAGAAGTGACGTCATCAGACCACCAGGCTGATGGTCTGCCCACCGCCCGTTTTGCTTCCCTTAACTGCCATTATAAACATTTTCACTCTGTCCACAATAACGAGCTAGTACCAAATTGTAATTTATCACTTTTATTTACGAGCATAACGGCGTAGATATTTGTCATTTGTTTGTTCACATGAAACCGAGACATGAAACCACAGAGAACCAAAACGTCATTCGCGGTCCCCGATAGAGACGCCCTTTGAGCAATATAGCCTGCCAATTTGGTTTACCGAATTGCCATTCCCAGTGTTGCCACCAGCTTATATTTCTCGAACTTGACGTCCTTTTTTGACTCCCACGTGTTATTTGTAATTTTACCATTTTGTTTGTAAATCACCCTTACTCTAATACTTATGATACAATAAATATAACAGCCGCAACAGTCCACTGCTAGACATTCCCATATGAGGGGGGTATTTGCCATACTCACTACGCTTGGCAGGCGGATTGGCAAGCGCAGTTCAAGGTGATGTATTCACAGAAAATTTTGCTGCCCATTCTCTGGAACGACTTTTTAGTGTGACAGCTGACACCTGTCATGTAGATCTCGTTAAGGCCTACAACTTTCCCAAAGAAACTAATAGTTTAGCACGCATAGTTTTTGATTTAAACCACTTTTTAGTGTGACAGCTGACACCTGTCATGTAGATCTCGTTAAGGCCTACAACTTTCCCAAAGAAACTAATAGTCTAGCACGCAGAGTTTCTGATTTAAACGACTTTTTAGTATGACAGCTGACACCTGTCATGTATATCTCGTTAAGGCCTACAACTTTTCCAAAGAAACTAATAGTCTAGCACGCATAGTTTCTGATTTAAACGACTTTTTAGTATGACAGCTGACACCTGTCATGTAGATCTTGTTATAGCCTAAAACTTTTCCGAAGAAACTAATAGTCTAGCACGCATAGTTTCCGATATAAACGACTTTTTAGTTTGACAGCTGACACTTGTCATGTAGATCTTGTTAAAGCCTACAACTTTCCCAAAGAAACGAATAGTCTAGCACGCATAGTTTCCGATATAAACGACTTTTTAGTTTGACAGCTGACACCTGTCATGTAGATCTCTTTAAGGCATACAACTTTCCCAAAGAAACTAATAGTCTAGCACGCATAGTTTCTGATTTAAACGCCTTTTTAGTATGACAGCTGACACCTGTCATGTAGATCTTGTTAAGGCCTACAAATTTTCCAAAGAAACTAATAGTCTAGCATGCATAGTTTCCGATATAAACCACTTTTTTGTGTGACAGCTGACACCTGTCCTGGACCACAGGGAAAAAATAACGTACCCGTGGTCCACCAGGTGGACCAGGAGGTGGACCAAGGGGATAAAGGGGTCATTTTCAGTCTCTTTTTTTTATTCAATCTCATACACTCCAAATTTAGGTTTTGGCGACGGATATGTGTATTTTGAAAAGACGGTTGTGGCAACACTTTAGGGTGAACGCACTCTGTTCCGAACCGTACGCACAGCACCCTGAGTGGCATAGAATTTCATACAAAATTTCTAAATATGACGCGTACGGAACGGTTAAATGAGCTATCACCTCAAATTTGCCTCAAATGACAAACTCGTTCAAAAACATTAAAAAATTACAGGCTTGTCTTGTATGAAATTTTGACAAAAGGCGTGTCTAGTAGCGCTGCGCGAAAAAGGTTTCATTTGTCTGTGCATGAAACACTCTAATAGCATGGTATTATGAACAGAGTATATATTTTTTCTTCGATTTGATATAGTATTATCACTTGTTTTGATAAAATTACGATTACTCTAATGGAAGAAGAGTACAGTGACTATTCAGAAGATGAAATACATTTAGAAACAAGGATAAAATTAACTGTAATTAATTTTTTATTCAATTTTACAGGTGATGACGTAGAAATAGTGGTCGGCGTAGTCGTCCGCGGCGGCGGAGGTCTCGGCATATCTCTAGAGGGGACAGTCGACGTTGAAGGGGGGCGGGAAGTGAGGCCGCATCACTACGTGCGCTCTGTTCTACCGGAGGGACCAGTGGGCAGAGCGGGGGTGCACCGCCCAGGAGACGAACTGCTGGGTAAGATAGCCTGTGTTACCATCATGTGCCATCATCATTCATAAAACCGGAACTACTTTACTGAATTTCCATGAAATGCCCCAAGTAAGCAATGTCTGAGTTCACATAAACGTTAATCGACTGGTTCAAAATAGTTAAAGTTAGTCCTCCTATTCTGTTTATCACAAAGAAAAGATGTCATTCCGGTACCTTTCGAAAATGTTGATGAACGACCAGTTTGTTTCATTAGGCGCGTCCACACCAAGCGAGGCTGCTCGTGCTCGGGCGAACGCGCGTGGGCTGAGTAAAAATCCGGTAGAAATATATTGTATACCAAAATCAGTTTTTAATACAAAAATATTAATAGTGTACCAAAAAACGAAAGCGTAAAAAAGTATATCCGCAACGCAATTAAAAAAGCACCTCAGAAGTTTGCCTATAATTTTTTTAGGCGTCCAAATTGGGCCGTACTTGGCTC